TCCCAGGCAATTTGTTTAACATTAGTGTAACCACTTCAGGTTTTATTTTATTTTATTTACTGCTTATATAGTTGACAGGGACAGAACAGGGGTCGCTGCCCTGCCTGCTAATGGAATTAACAAAAGACCCTATGGAACAAGTGATGAACAAGAGACTTTGTGAGAATTGTTTTGGAAAACACCTTAACCTTGAAGCCAGGCCCTAGTGAACATCTTGATGCAGGCCTGGACTCAGAGACAATCCTGAGACAGGCATTCTGAGACACACTGAGCCAGAGCAGCGGCCCAGATAAAACTGAAATGATTCATGAGACCCAAGGACGGGCTGAGTAACTAGTTAGAAAGCTGCCTGACCACCCCTACCTCTTTGAAAGTGCCCTAAGAACTAGAAGTGTACCCCTACATCGTCCTCATCTCAGCTCACATCTCTGGACACTGACAAAGCACACAGGGTTGGAGCTTGCTAGTTCCCCGGTGGATGATAGCCTAGGAACCGAACTTAAAAAACAACAACAAATACTTTGAAAGTATTTTTTCTATGCCATTACTTTCAAAATACTGTGTCTCGAATCTAAGATAGATCTCTTTTAGACAGCATATAGTTGGATAATTTTTAAAAATTTTGTTAACCCTGTCTTGTAATTAGAATGTCCAAAGTTACATCTGCTATTTTGCTTTTTATTTTCTATGTCTTTTTTTTTGTGTGTGTGGGGGGTGTTTGTTCCTTTATTCTTCTGTCACTATCTTCTTTTGTGTTAAATAAATATTTTCTGGGGTACCATTTACATTCTCTTGCCTTTCTTTTACTATATACAGTACTGTATATACTTGAGTATAAGCCGACCTGAATATCAGCCAAGGCACCTAATTTTACCATAAAAACTGCATTAAAAATGTGCTAAAACTAAGGTGCTGGACACAAATGATGTATGCACGGATCGTGAAGGGTTGTATGAGGCCCTAATAAAATGACTATTAAAAAAATGCGTTGGTCTGAGATGCTCACCTGCCTGGCATGATCGCTGAAGACAATGGGTGCACAAGAAAATGTGGTGAAGAAAGCAGATGATGCTTGGCTACCAAAAGATAAAGCACCTGAAGCCTTAAAGACTTGAAGATAAACAAGTACCATCTAGCTGAGAGACAACAAAACCCACACAGAAGAAGCACACCAGTCTACCCCTACTCGATCACTGAGGACAAAGGGGGTGCATTAGCAAAAGTGGTGAAGAAAGCATATGGTACCCGGCTATCAAATGATACAGGATCTGGGGTCTTAAAGGCTTGAAGACAAACAGGCGGCCATCTAGCTAAGAAACAACAAAACCCACAAGGAAGAAGCACACCAGCCTACCCCGACACGAATGCTAAAGACAAAGCGGGTACATAAGCAAATGCGGTGAAGAAAGCTGATGGTGCCTAGCTGTCAAATTACACAGAATCTGGGGTGCCACATGCTGGAAGATAAATAAGGGACCATCTAACTAAGAAACAACAAAGCCCACATGGAAGAAGCACACCAGCCTATAAGATGACAAGGCGGCGAAGGGGTCAGGTATCAGGCATCAAAGACAAAAAAAAAAAATCATAACATTGTGAATGAGGGGGAGTGCAGAGTCGGGACCCAGGGCCCATCTGGGGGAAATTGGACATCCCCTTGCAGAAGGGCTGCGATGAGGTGAGGAGCAAATCGGAGTGCAGTATAGTAACGATGAAATATGCAATTTTCCTTTAGTTCTTAAATGCTTCCTCCACCCCACTACCATGATCCTAATTCTACCTTACATATCCAGCTGGATATGTAACTGGAAATACCCAGTGAACCCAGGACAGATGAGCCCCCCAGGACCAGTGGAGAGAGTGGCGATGGCAGGAGGGTGGAGGGAAGGAGAGGGAGAAAGGGGCAACAGAGGACAAGGTCTACATGTGGACTCCTCCCTGGGGGATGGACTGCGGAGAAGTGGATGAGGGAGACATTGGATTGGGTAAGATATGATAAAATAATAATAATTTATAAATTATCAGCGGGGAGGGGGGAGCGGGGAGGGAGGAGGAAAAACGAGCTGACACCAAGGGCTCAGGTGGAAGGCAGGTGTTGTAAGAATGATGAAGTCAACATATGTACTAATGTGCTGGACACAGGTGACATATGTACGGATTGTGATGAGTTGTACGAGCCCCTAATAAAATGATTATTTAATTTAAAAAAAAGAAAATGTGCTGAAAAACTCGGCTTACACACGAGTATATACGGTACTGTCTGTCTGTCTGTCTGTCTATCTTGGTGGATGCCCTGAACACTATAGTTACCATTTTAATTTATAGCAGCCTAATTTGGATTATTAGACAGTGGGGTGGTGCAAAAGCACTAGACCACTAGCTGAAAAGCAGGCAGTTTGAACCCACCCAGAGGTGCATGGCAACACAGGCCTAATGAGCTGCTTCTGAACGGTTAAAGACTTGAAAACCCCAGGGGGCGGTTCTGCTCTGACCCATAGGGGCCTTGCTATGTGTTAGAAAGGACTCGATGGCAATAACAAAAATTTGGGTTAACACTAAGTTAATTTAAATAGTATGCCAACATTTTGCTCCTATATAACTCCATTTTCTCCTTCCTTTATGCCAATTATTACGACAAACTACTTCTTTATTTATTGGGTGCCCATCAACGTAGTTTTATAATTATTGCTTTCCGTAGTTGTATTTTAAATCATATGGAAAAACAGAGTTAAAAAGCACAACATAAAATACCTTTCTGTTTTCTTTCCTGTTTTCTTATGCAGTCACCTGTCCTGGTGCTGTTTCTTCCTGGTGTGGATTCCGAGCAGCACTCTGGCGTTTTGTCCCTGCAGCTTGAAGGGCGCCCTCGCAGAACCTCCTTTCTTGTAGGTCTCCTGATGGTGAAGTCTCTCTGGTTCTGTGTACCTTGAAACATCTCAGTGCTTTCCTTCATTTCTGAAGGACGATTTTGCCTGAATATTGAATTTTCGGTTGTGCTTTTCAAGCACTTTGGCTGTGCTCTCCTATTGCCGTCTAGTCTCCATGTTTTCTGATTAGAAATCAGCTGTTACTCCTATTGAGTATCCCTTGTACCTGCTGTTGCTGCCTTCAAGTTTCTGTCCTCCTCTTTGCCATTCTTAAACTGCCTACTTTGTCATTATAAATTGAAAGTCCATTTTTAATGATCCCAGCTGAAAAGATAACATGCGGTATTTTGTTTGTGCTTTAATCTAACCCTTATGATATCGCTATAGCATTTCTCTAATCTATCAACTTGTTAACTTAGTCATCCATTAGTCATTATCCTAAGTCTTATGCTTATAGAATGTCAGAGCAATTTCCATCAAGCATTTTCTTAATAGATTTGCTCACCGTTTGCATTTGGAAAGGGAGGCATCTATGCCTTTGAGATTAGTGAAGCACAGTCCTGCCTGTAAGGACGACACATTTGATTGAAAGGACACACATACTTACCAACCTAATTACTCTGTAATAGGGGGATTTGCGGACAGAATGCTCATTGGAAGCCAGGATGGTGGAACTTTGTCTTACAAACTTTGCATGTGTTGTCAGGAGGGACCAATCCCTGGAGGAGGACATCATGCTTGGTAGAGGGTAGGTGAGAAAGAAGAAGACCTTCAAGGAGTTGGATGGACAATTAGCTCAAACAAAACATTGGCTTGGTGCAGAACCGGGAAGTGTTGGGTTCTGTTGTGCACAGAGGCTCTATGAGTAGGAACTGACACGACAGCACCTAGGGATCCTATACGATAGGGTGGGGTATGTTATGACAATTAACCAGGTATTAGGCGAGCACAGAAGAGGAAGTTACTGGTTTTTATATTTGATAAATAAGCCGAGGATTAGATGGATCAAACCATTTGAAACCTTGAGGCCACATGCATTAGAGTGTGGCAGAGCCAGGAACTAGACTTATTATCTTGAGTTTTTAAAATGAAACTACAGGGACCATCGAGTCTTGTGGTCCTATTGTTTCAAACATCAAAGGTAAAAATAAAATTTTAAACCAGGTCAATGTGTGACACACGGATTTTTTCCTTCAAAAGGATGCATGCTACAAATGGACAGCAACAGTGTTGAAGTGTTTATTAGTGGCCATTGGAATGTGATGGTATGAATGTAACACAGTATGAGGCATTATGAGTTGTCAAAATAGGAGGTGTCAGAATTTTGTTAAACACAGCCTGTTTTTTCTTTCCCTTTTTATTGGTGTTTCTGTTTTTGAAAAGAATCTCCCTCTTCCCAGCATCTCCAGCATAATTTGGAATAGGTCAAGTTTATATTAGAATTTCTTTTTTCAAAAGACATCATTTTCCCATGAGGAAGCATGATTTATTTGGTCATAGAGTTTTAATTTTAATCCGCATGCCTTCTTTTCTTCTCCCATGGTTCTTTGCAGCAGGACAAGGAAAACCAAGTCTTATAAAAAGAACCACAGTTTGTGCTGCTTATTAAAGTTACATACATCTCTTCTCACAGGAGCATTTTGATTTACTGCAGGTTGTGCATATGTCGCATATGGACATTTCTAGGGAACAGATTCCTTATCGCTGAGCAGTGAATGGCTTCCAGTATTCCATTATTGCTCCGGGAACATGTTAGGAATGATTACAAAAGGTAGGGTACCATGAAATCTGTAAGGTGATTTGGCAGAAGTCGATGCTGTTGGTGCCAGGATTTGGGCACCGCACCACAGTTTCCTGTTTGCAAATGTATTAATTGATCCGCAAAGGACATCTTTTGGAGACAAGAATTCAGACAGGCTGGCACAGGCTGGAGCTCCGCCAAGACTGCTCGGAAGGCTGCCATACTGGGAGCCAAAGAGTGAGTGAGAGAGAGAGAGAGTGAGAAAGAGAGAGAGGGGCAGAGGGAGAGGGAGAGCTGAGGAAAGAAAAAAAAGGCAAGACTTGGCACCGCTCAGTCAAATCAGCTTCTTTTGTCTGCTTTCTCGGCTTGAGCTTTTAGGAAAGAAAACCGTCCTGGGGTACAGACAAACTCAGAACTTTTTGGTTTTCAAACTTAGAAGGTTTTTAAAAGTCTCTTGGGCTATTTGAAAGTGTTGGTACATACAATGACGTTTAGTCACCAGTATTAAAGGAAATAAAAGGCATTTTCAAAATGAAGCACCCACAGTGTCCATGCATTTGGGAAATACAGTATTAGATTTTTTTGCATGTATGATTATACCAGGAGACAGGACTAATTTAGAAGATGGCAAGGCAAATTGTAATTAGAGAAGATATTAATTCTCTACAAAATAAAGTTTGTTCATCAATACAAACCTGCTTTCAAACCAATCAGACATCCTTCGGAATGTGTTCAGAACGTAAGTTTTTAGATTTTATTTTATTTCTTCCCATTTATAGGCATTAACCTTTCAAGGAGCCTTTCTAAGATTTTATGCAGCCCAGCCAAGAAGTCAGAGTAAAAGTTATTCTATCCATGTGCCTAAGGAAACGTTTTCTTAAAGCAACAGCTTTTTTTTTTTTTTTTTAATTTCTGCTGCTTCATGCTGTCCTAAACTACATCCCCCCAGCAATTAGTGACAACACTGAAGACCAGAAAGGCAAGCTGAAGACACCCAGACTTCGCTTGAAGGGCAAAGAAGAAATGTGAGCTTGGTCATTATTTTTGTGTGTGTCTTTGCTCTGAACCATTTTTTGGAGGGGGGTGGGGAGGTGGGTGGGGAGGTGTCTATGTCTAAAAGATGTGTGCGATTAGTGAATTCGCATTGTGAGAAGGGAATGAGGAAAGGTAATTTTTGTGATGTTGGCAGAATGGCTGGGAATGGTAGACTAGAAATCTAAATATTTCCTGAGGAAAAAGACATAGTGAGCTGTAGTTGAAATACTTGGAGAAAAATTCCATTATTTTTAGTTGATTAGCTTTTTATACTCAAACGATTGCTATAGTCTGGCTCTAAATTTTTTTTTTTTTAAGGCAGCAGAAAATCTGGAAAGTTCATCGGTTGTCTTTTCAAAGCTATCTTTTACTTAGACATATCTCTTGTATCTTATTTTCCCCCAATAAATACTTCCTATCAGGCCTGCTTATGGTGGGATTGTGATAGTTCTCTTCTTAAAATCAGCATTATTGTAGGAGAGGCTAAGTGTAAGCCACACATTTTTGTAGACCTCTCTCGTTGTTAATAATAAGTATTCTGTTTTTAAAAAGAGTTTGATTTGTAGGATTAGGCTATGACTTCCTGTAACAACATATCTTCTTTTGATTTTACATATTAAAAGGAGAGAGGAAAATCGTACAAGGGCTAATCATTTTGGACAGTCTAAAAGACTCTTCCAGGAGCTGTGCTTTTGTTTTGAGCATGTAATCATGACTCTGTTAATCATTTGACAAAGAGAGAAGAGGAAAAAAAAGAAAAAGAAGAAAATTTTTTTGTTTATAGTTTATATTACGCGCCTTAAATGATCAATTGTTGAAGATGGTTTTTTACAGAATTATATTGACACTTCAGTGATTCTAAGAATGGGATTTAATATATAAGTGTGATTTAAGAGGAGATCGAACACAGGTGTTTGAATAGTTAAGATATTTTCATTCACTTCTTTTACTAATCAACATTTTGGTCTTTAATAAAATGAAATCGTTTTTGTGTTGGCGTGGGTTGCCCAAATGACAACCTTTGTTTTATAAGCTTCTTTATACACCACCTCGCTGATACTCCTAAAATGGACGCCAGCACATAAAAGGCAAGCTGATATTCTCTGGAAGGAGATGCTTGCCTGGCTAGAGTCTTCCCTTTTGAAACACCACAGGATCATTCATGTCTATACTAAAAACCAACAATATACGACACAAAAGAAATTTCAGTTAATACGTTTCAGTGAGAGCTACATTTTAACATTATCCGTCTTATTAACGATTTTTACTTCAATGTACTTCTTAAAAATTTAACGTAATCTCTTGTCATTTTAGTTTGCTAAATATATAACTTCTTAGATTTATTTAAGATCCCTTTTCCCCGTTCAGGTTAAAAGTGTCTTTACTGGCTTATTTGTTAACTTTTTTCCCCCCGCGGCAAACTCACTGAGAACAAACGTATATCCATACTGTTTTGCGTCCGCATATGACTTGCTTGCACTATAATCAAGAGTAGAAGAATTAAAAAAACAAGGTTGTGAGTAGATATTTGTCAGTATTGGTAGAACTACACTTTATAGTGTTTATTAGACTTAAGATTTGATGAGTACCACCTGTTATGCCCTATGAACTTTCTTAGCAATGCATTCTTTCTGGCTTACCTATTACATACCTTACAGTGATAAATATATTAACAGGTGTAATCAACACTCTTTTGTACATCCGTTTCTAAATATATGCTTAAGAAATTATGTGGGTGATATATATTTTTAAACAATCCTTCAATCTTACCATAAGGCATGCTTCTTTACTTTTAGACTTTGCATTTTACAAACAAATTGCCAAATAGGGTTTTAAAATTATTTCCACATAAGTATTAATATTTTAAATCTTTAAGTGTACAAAAACTGGTCGTTTGGTTATAAATGAACTCTCTTTCAGCACATATTCATTGCAGTTTGAATTACATGTTTTGTAAAAGAATTATTAAACTATAAATTGATTAATATTTAATTGCTACTTGATGGCTATCATTAGATTCCATTTAGATGTGTTTACCTGAACACACAAACAACTTATTTGATAAACAATTTGTGAACTTCTCAGGGGTCTTAGTCCAGTATTTTACAATTATTTACTCATTTATTCAACAAATGCTTAATGAATACCCACTTACGTATGCTAATATTCTATTGATGAAGTTATTTTGGGTAACTGAAGGAAGCTACACATGTGTATGCTAGAGGGAATAGACTTAAAACAGGAGTACAAAAGCCTAGCTCGTAAAGAGAAACATTGTCAGTGAAATTTCTCTTTTAATACATTAAAGTCGTTAACTTTTACTGCACAATATATGCTACTATAGAAAAATTAGGAAGTATGTTATAGTCCATAGAGTTAAAAGAATTTTATTTTTACCACTATTTAGTTTACTGCATGTTATTGGCCAAAAGCTTCCATTGTTCAAGTCTCCTGGTAGATGTGTAAAATAAAGTATCCCAATGTCGTAAAGAAGAACGAAGGGAAGAAGGACAAATCACTTTCCACGCGCTCGGTTTTACGTAGGCCCACGCAGGGGCCACCACACCGCTGAAGGCGAGGCTGGAATGTAAGGTGTGGCTGAGTGGGTGGGACGTTTTGCTTCCTTTGGTGAGGAAGAGGAGGCTAAAGCCATATCCTGACTCCGGCTCCTGAAGCTCTTTGAAGGTTCCTTTTCTGTGGGACCAATCAGTTCATTTTTAGAGTTGCTGGCATATTTATTTATATTTGTTTTTTTATACTTAACTGTACTCACTAACAAAAAAGCGCCATCGGGATAATACAAGCCTGGGCCCAAGATAAAAGTGAGCGTTAAACTTGGTGGCCTTACTTTGTGCTGTTTTCTAATATAAAAATGAAAACCGGGGCTCATGGTCTGAAGAGGAGAGAAAGTCGTGGAAGTCAGAGAGATGCTGGCTGACGGCCTGGGCCTGAGCCATGTCCCGCTGCAGGTGTGCGCTGCTGAAGTCGTTCCACAAATATTCCTGAGGACCCACTCGGTGCCAGCCATCGCGCAGGAGGGAGGGGTATGAAGTGCAGGGGGACTGGGAGACGAGTAAGTGACAACTTGCCGACTGCTGTCCCCTGGTGCGTGGTGGCCCCTAGCGCTCCTGTCCGGCACAGAGGCTGAACCGGAGGGCCACAGCTAAGTTCTTCCGGAAGGACCCCCCGTGGTGCGACCCATACGCTGCTCTTCTCGAGAGAGACCTCCGGATGAAGAGAAGGCTTTTCTTCAGGACGGAGAGACGGAGGCTTTGTGTTGTGCTGACCTGGCATTGGTGTTGCTGGTTATAGACTTGGGCCGTGCACGAATCCGTGCTTTGTGACCATGAGAGAGCTGTTGTAGACGACGGAAAACGAGGGCTTCGGGGGGCACCCTAACTCCGACCAGTGCACATCCATTAGCTAGCATTTTCCCTGTCCTCGATTCTCCAAACCTGAGCCAACCTCGCTGCCATGGGACTGACTGAGGGCTTCCGGGCTGTAACTCTGCAGGGGAGCGGATGTTATTGTTGGGTGCCATCAAGCCAGTTCTGACTGGCAGTGACCCAGCTACCCGGCATGAAACGCCACCGGCCCTGCACCCTCATCACAATGGCTCTTAGGTTTGAGCCTATTGTTGCAAACACTGCATCCATCTGTCTGGTAAAAGGTCATCATCCTCTTTTTTGCTGCCCCAGATAGACTCATCTTTCTTCTGAGGAGCGGCTGGTGGCTTTGAACTGCTGACCTTGACCTGGTATTAGCAGTCCATTGCTTCCCTGATAGCACCCACAGGGTTCCTAAAACTCCAAACCCAACTCACTGCCTTTGAGTTGATCCCATAATGCACCTTAGGATTTAGTGCATTGAGCAGGGCAATTGAAGTGTCTAAACAGTAAAAAATATTTCTTTTGAGCATGGGAAGGAGGATACGAAGATGGAGAAAGAGAGAGAAGGTGGGAAGAGAAAATGCGGGGACCCGAGGGCTGTGCTTCTGGCCTATCAATTACTGAGAAGGTGAGACCCATGATGAGTGTGAGTGTGTACGTGGGCAGCTGGCGGTGGTGTGGATTAGTAGAAATGGCCAGTGCTACCAGTGTGGTAAGGCCTTATAGGAGGATCTGTATTAAAGGGTTGCTGAGGCCAGTTTATGTTGGACAACATCTTTCTAGGTCTTTCTTTAAGGGTGTTTTAAAGCCCAGAAGAGGAAGGAGCAGAGGCATGGCCATTGTGTGCACTTGTTCATTGTACCATGCACAAACACGTCTGGCTAAGGGGTTTCTGTGGGGACTGAAATTCAGCCCCCTCTCTTCTGCCCAAGGCCTATGCTTTGTTCTGCTCAAGCAGGGAACATAGGGACCACGGGTCTCAGTGGTGGCCCTGGAGAGAATGGGCCCGCCCATTACCACCGAGTCTATTCTGATTCACAGCAACACAATAGGACAGAGTAGAACCACTGATTTCAGAGTCTGTAGATCTTTACGGGAGCAGACAATCTCATCTTTCTCCTGAGGTGCAGCTGGTGGGCCCAACACTTACCCATTGTGCCATCGGGGATCCTTGAGAGCTTGGGCATTGGGGAGAAATCCATGCTGTTAATTGTAGTAGCAGGAATGGGAGATGCACAAAGAGTCTAGGGTGGAAGAAGGCAAATCCCAGAAGTTGGCCATATCTTGCACTGTCGGACGTCTCCCTTTACCCACT